TATGAACAGAATGAGATAGATAGATAGATAGATAGATATGAACAGAATGAGATAAATAGATACGGGCAGACTGAGATAGAGAGAATAATAAAAGAACGACAATTAAGAAAACCACAGAAAATGTTTAACATTCCATTTAAATCTTTGAAGATTAAAGTTGACTTGAAGCCGTAACTGTGGTATCTTTAGGGTCAATAATTGTGGCTAGCTAAGTTTAAGATAAAAAAAAAAAAAATTGAAAACCAGACCTCTCCCCATCCCTCTTTTTGACCTTGTGTCACATTTTTGTATTTTCAAAATAAATATCATTTTCCTCTATGGTACCTAGACTTTTAAGAATTTAAACGCAGTACTAGATTGGCAGGAAGGTCTCATCATTTTACAGTTGAAATGGCTAGATGTAACTGTAAATTCTATACTAAAAGTTTCACACCTCTCACGGCATCTTGTTTTCCAGTCAATTTTGATGTTCAAAATTTTAAATGCACTGTCAATCGTTATCTCCTGTCTTAATTCTTGTTCTTTTATCGTCATCTCTCCTTAATAGTAGTTTTTTTTTCTCATATTCTCTAACACTCAGTAACCCCTTTGCGTCCTAGTGGCTTTATCGCCTTGGACGGGGTGAAATGATTAAAAGAAATCATAAAGAAAGGAAGCGGTAAACCCTTAACCCTAAACAGGAAACAAGGAAGAGACCTCTTCTCCTGTTCAATAAACATTCAAGGAGTAGTGACTGGGCGATAGGTGAACCAATCTATTCCTATTAATTTGTTAATAAGATATCTATTAAGATAGATATGAAAAGACTGACATAGAGAAGAGAACAGCGCTTAGATGTGGCACATGGCTGAAAATATGGGTCACCCAATGAGGGACGAATTAACTCTGCTGTAATGGTTCTAGCGAGACAAGCTTGCTAACATTTACACCACGTCGATATGAATAGATTGAATTAAATATGGATAAACTGAATTAGATAGATAGATAGATAGATAGATAGATAGATAGATAGATAGATAGATAGATATGAACAGAATGAGATAGATAGATAGATATGAACAGAATGAGATAGATAGATAGATAGATAGATAGATAGATAGATAGATAGATAGATATGCACAGAATGAGATAGATAGATAGATAGATAGATAATATGCACAGAATGAGATAGATAGATAGATAGATATGAACAGAATGAGATAGATAGATAGATAGATAGATAGATAGATAGATAGATAGATAATATGCACAGAATGTGATAGATAGATAGATAGATAGATAGATAGATAGATAGATAGATATGAACAGAATGAGATAGATAGATAGATAGATAGATAGATAGATAGATAGATAGATAGATAGATAATATGCACAGAATGTGATAGATAGATAGATAGATAGATAGATAGATAGATAGATAGATATGCACAGAATGAGATAGATAGATAGATAGATAGATAGATAGATAGATAGATATGAACAGAATGAGATAGATAGATAGATAGATAGATAGATAGATAGATAGATAATATGCACAGAATGTGATAGATAGATAGATAGATAGATAGATAGATAGATAGATAGATAGATAGATATGAACAGAATGAGATAGATAGATAGATAGATAGATTATAAAGCTACAACATTGTATTACTCATTTTGAAGATCAAAATTTTAATTCTCATTGAAATTTCTCGCGGCTTTATTTTAAAAGAGTTTTAGAATTTTCAAGGGAGGTAAGTAGATTATAACAATTTAGAATTACCTCCCATGGAATGCAGCAAGGATTTTTTTTGTTTCAGGTTTCGTTTTTGATTGGCATGTTGCGGGGTTCTACACTATTGATTTGAACATGTCTACGTTGTATAGGACAGGGTTCGGCAACATACGGCACGCGTGACACACGTGGCACGCCAAGCAATTCCCAATGGCACGCAGCCACAAACGACATCACGAAGTCCGAACCAATAACTACTGCAACGCAAAGAATATATTTCGTTGTTTCAAAACTGCTCACTCGTTAGAGTCACATTAAAAACTTTAAAAAGAAATTTTTTAAAAACATTTTTTCTATTCATACGGTTGTAGCAGACCGTTGGCTGATGAGTATGTAAACACACGTGAGTTAAAATTTCCTGCTAGCCGGTCCAGCGACACGAGAAAGTTGGACTTTAATTAAATCCCAGAGAAAACAAAGAAAAAGAAACAGGACCGATAAATATATGTAAACAAATATATGTATTAATAACAGGTTAAAGGTTACAAGCACATGGACATATTGCGTGTGGTGTATATTATGTGTATGTTGTGGTGAGTGTTCGTACGTATGTCTATTGTTCTTAGCGTGTTCCCAGAATTTGGGAAACGCTGTATCTGTGAGAGTTCACATATTGGTGTTAGCTGAAATGAGAGAAGAATGACCACCTCATCTCCAAGCGAGGTAACGGCCCAAGGCCTGAGGAAAAAGAGAGATCGAGGCGAAGGACTGTCGTGTCCACTAAAATATCAACTACAATATTTATAAACCAATCACACTCAAGAAAACATTTACATCTTAAAACACACCAATGAAATCATAGATTACAAATCAGAATGTTCGTTGTATTAGTCATCATTATTTTTAGGTAGATACCGACCAAATATCGTACGGACGTAGTAGAAGACATACCACGTGACTTCTTAGGGCCAAATTAGGAATAAATAAATAATTTAATTCTGGAGCCGATATTGTTCGGAAAAAGTGTATAAAAACATACAAAATCTGTTCCCAAAACAATATACACGCGGCTGCCGATATTCAGTCACCCCCACCCACACACACACACACACACACACACACACACACACGAGGGCGTCATGTGGCACAAGGCCTTTTTAACGTGGGATCTCCGAGCCCGTGGGCTTGGCCAAAAATATGCCCATTGAACCCGTATAAACGGGTTCAGGGTCGGTTTACCTCCCCGAAAGAGAATCCGCCCTTCAGCGTAGCCTCCTTCGGGTTCCTCCCTGCTCAAAGGCAGAGAGTTCAACCGATCAGCCAGTCGACTGCCGCCAAACTACACACACCTCTCACTGATGACCTTCTTGACCTCATGTTAAAAACGACAGCGTTGACAAACTCCAGACCACGGCAACACCACCAACAGTAAGAAACAATTCGTATCTCTCGTATCCGTTTTTACTATGAATCACGCACACACATGTTGACTTTTTCATACAAACACACATATCACAACATTTTATTGTTTCTCACACACGTACACAAAGAACAGTTTATACTTTATTTCAGAACTTTATCAACCCAAACAAAAGACATTACTTTCCAATCTATTATCAACTGTTTGTATTCCTATCGTTATATTAAATTAATGTTTATTTGTTGAAACTACGTCATCTTTTCTACTGAATTTTATTCCTTCAATAAAAAAACGTTTGATTATTCTAGACGGCCAAATTACGAGCGACCCCGTAACGATATTTTATTAATGTATTGAATCCCGACACTCCCAATTTTAACATTTAACGAAAAACCGAGTAGAAGGATTCCCCCAGGGTCAGCCAGTATTTATAGCCAGGGGAGAGAGACCCCTGGTGAAGGGTTAAGGAACTGAGGTGGAGATAACTCCGACATGGTTTACATGTTATTGTATATATTACTCTAGGCATCTACATCGATAAAAGAACTTAGCATGAATAAAAAAAAACCCTAAACTTGAAAAGAATTTCTTATTGTCTAAACGCTATTATCAAAAGAAAAGATGAAAGTATTTTTTGAATATTTTTTTTACATTTTTTAATCATTCCTAGGACTATATAAAATATATTGTAGAACAGGTATATTTATCTTGACTTGTATAAAAATACGTATGCTGTTGGGACACTGAATGATTTTAAAGCCCTAACTCGGCACATAGTCAGCTAAATGTTTCCGACTCCTGGTATAGGAAATCTTTATGGGCCCCTGGAATATTTCTCCCGCAAATAAGATTGGTAGAATCATGTGAGTCCAGGTAAGCATAATGACACAAAAACAATGAATTTAAAACAAACAGCAATAATGTGCATATATTAACAAAAGTAATTGCATGTCTACACAATTTAATTAAAAGAAAAAGACATTGAAACCAGCTATAAGACTATGCGGTGTTTACTCATTCCCCCACGAGAATGAGATGTGACACAAGGTCGGGTTAATGTGGGGATCCGAGCGCGTACGCTCGGGCAAGTGTCAAAAATTCCCCTCAGCCCACAGTCGGTTTCGTTGGCCTCGGTGCGAGCACCAATCCCTATCTCTGGTGCAATGGGAGAACGCGGCCTCGGGCAGCTGTTCCCCAGGGCTGGGTACCTCTTCAGTATAATTTTCCTCAGTTGCCCATCTGTCCTCAAACAGAGAAGCCCCTGAGCTTACTTAGTCCAAGGACAGAGACGCAACTGAGAGATAAGAAAACGTGAAATTACCCCAAAAGAGAAATGTGTGTGTGTGTGTGTGTGTGTGTGTGTGTGTGTGTGTGTGTGTGTGTGTGTGTAAAACAAGTGTGCGTGATAGACACGTGTGTGTATGTGCGCGTGTGCGAGAGTTCAAAGAACCAAGGAAGCGAACGCGCCCTATCGGCAGCATTCTTTATCTACATTCGACTCCATCTGAAAACAGGAAGAAAAAAAAGAGAAAGGGAGCTATGATTGACTTAAAGAGCCCCATCTAACGGTCGAATTTCGCTGAGCCAAGTTGGGTAACTCGTAAAGGCAGGGGCGATAATGACTCTCCACTGATTGTTTTTTTCGTTATTATCTGTGAATTGGCATGACAATGCTTTTTGGAGTGGGTCGGGGGATAGTAAAATATGTTCCCGATGTCTTCTCTACGTTTGGGAATATGGAGTTTTCTTTCTCTGGTTGCCGCCCAATGATAGAAGGTCCTTGCTACAAAGCAATTTAAACCTATATGGGTGAACACTCGGGAATACCACGTACAGCGAACATAGATATACAGGTGGTGGGGCTTACGGTCATATCCCGTTGAAACACAGGTCCTCGTATGATCATCGATATTAAGCAACATTGAGCCCGGTCAGTACCTAGATGTGTGACCGCTTAGGAGTACCTGGTGCTGTAAGCTTCGATGTGCAGTGGGTGGGGCTTACGGTTATGTCACGTGGAAACATCTCCCCCGGAGTTAAGCAAACGTCGTGTCTGGATGAGCGAACGCATCGTAATACAAGATGTTGTAAGCGGCGGATATGCAGACGGTTTGATGAATGACTCTTTGTAATGAGAGACGGCTAACAATTCCAGTCTGGGGCATTATGTTCACTTTTTTAATCGATATCACCCCATGTAAGACAGTAAAGCCACTAAGACACACGGGGTTACAGGGTGTGGAAGAATTAGGAACAAAAACGTTAATCATGAGCGGGAAGAGGAAAGAATAATCCCGAAGTCAGTAGATGACATTGCATTTAAATTTTCAAATTAAATTTGGCTGAAAAACATGGAGCCGGGATGGAGTTCCACAAGCAAGAAGTAGGAGAAAATTGATGGGACCTCGACGACAGTGACGAAGGAAGTATATAATTTCATATATAAATATAGATATATCCGTAGACATTATAATCTTTATTATAATCCTACCTGTCTTTCCCATGGTTCCTTAGTTAGCACGCTCTTACGTCACACCCTGCCAATACCTCATAAATAATAGACTATTCCGAGTGGATCGCGGGGAAAAACGAAAAAGACATATCAGTGACGCTATCTGGTTTCGGTGAGAAAATGAAAGAAAGAAAGAACAAAATTAAAAAAAAAAAAGCATTAATATTTATCGTTGTCATTGCAATATTTTGTTAAAGTTGTTAATCTCAAATATCTAACGATGCGGTAGAGTAACTTTTACGGATGTTTTACGGTCATCGAACACGCCATGAGATTATTCAATAATTAAACTAAGAGTCATCAGAAATTTCAAACAGGAAAACCCTGAAATTTTCACGGCGATTTCTAATTATTACATAAATGTAAAATTAAACAGTGAATTCAACACGAAGCGGCTACAGTCTGTTTCATATTTGAACAGAATCTTCGGACCTGAAGATTTTCGTCCAGCATGAAACATATACAGTAGCGGCCATAATATAAGGAACAGAAACAACAAAGACATAAATATGTGTATTAATTAAAAAGTAATGCATGATTCCCAATGAAATTTTTACCGAATAAAGATTAGGGTGTAATGCATAAATATTATACAAAGTTACAAAAATTTACATAATAGTTTTTTTTTTTTAAATAAAGATTAAATGGAACAATCGTTATAAGCATGTTCATTCGTTACTATGGAAACGGCTGGGGAGACTACTTTTGATAAGGGCCTAAGAGTTCATTTTTATTCACATATCAGTCACCTTCAGGAAGAGGTCAAGGTTATAACGTAAATTTCAAAATTGGTTATTCCTAAATTTTCGCTTGAGGATGAAACAGGGCTTGACAGTTTAATTCAATTTAATTTTAATAATTATATTGAGGGTTTCGGCTCTCGTTTTTGAAACATGAGAACTCTTATGTAGCGAAGAAATCATATTTTTTAAAAAATAATTATAATTTAAGCTCTACTTCCGTATGGAGCACTGTTTTTTAAAAATAAAAACAAAAATACTAAAGAACTCTGGATTATTTACCTAACGTATTCTTTCCTATTTTCTACATACCTGCACACACACACACACACACACACACACACACACATATATATATATATATATATATATATATATATATATATATATATATATATATGACCATAGGAATAAGTAAGTTTTGATGGCATTTAACTAAAACTAAAACGACCAGTTTCGACCCAGATCTTATCAAGTTTATTTTCTAGGTGTATCTATCTATACCCAGATAATAAATTTGATATGGTCTGAGTCGAAACCGGTCGTTTTAGTTAAAATGTCATCAAAACTTACTTATTCCTTGCTGTTACAAAATTCTATACCCTTCAGAATCTGTTTATATATATATATATATATATATATATATATATATATATATAAAAGGTGGGGTTGATAAATTGTATGTCAAGGTAAGACTAGTTGTTTTATATGATGGCTGTTATGGAATTGGTCGGCAGAATTATAGGTTTGATTTTGGTGTGCTTCTGGGAATTCTTGTACAGATTCTATTTTTAATTAATAGCATTGAGAATCTGTAGCCGCCAGTTTCTGCTCCAAGAAGAAAAATGCATCGAAAACACTTTGCAAACTCCTCTATTACCTGAATTATTTCCTGCACAATGCCAAAAGAAAAGCTTACAAAATACACAGAAAGAAAAATAAAAAAAAAAAAATAAAATCTACAAATATATATATATATATATATATATATATATATATATATATATATATATATATATATAGTCATTCACATACAGACTGTTTCGCTGTATCACAGCTCATCAGTGTGGCTAGACGTCTGGTTGCCTCTCGGTAGGATCGAAACCCGACTGAATTGGCGTTAGTCGGGATTCTACCATTAAGCCGTTGACGTATTTTTTTTAGATAAATACACAGAGACTGAGAAAACTCGATTCGGTTTCCGAAGAGTCTTGCATTATATATATATATATATATATATATATATATATATATATATATATATATATATATATATATTAAGAGATTATAATATTATATATATATATATATTATAAGAGATTATAATAAAAACATTTTGAAATCGCTACACAAAAGCTTTCATGTTTCAATACCATGATTGTACTTCATCAGGCGATAGTTGGTAACTGATGATAAAAATAGTATTTTTTAGGCAAATTTCACTAATAAATTTAGTCCTATGAAGTCCTGAAGGTCGAAACACATCACAAGTAAACATTTTTCACTTTGTCGGACAATTTCTCCAATATATATATATATATATATTTTTTTTTTCCAAGAGGATAGAATCCAGGTAGAACTCAATGTCCAGGACAGAGTAAGAATATAAAATAAAAGGCACAAACACTAATATTCCATGGTTATAATTTATTACATTGGAATCTTAATCAAGATACAATTCATCAGAACTACAAATACAAAAAAGCTTTTTTGTATTTGTAGTTCTGATGAATTGTATCTTGATTAAGATTCCAATGTAATAAATTATAACCATGGAATATTAGCGTTAGAGTATTATATATATATATATGTGTGTATGTATGTATATTTATGTAGAGAGTGAGAGAGAGAGAGTGGGGAGAGAGAAATAGATATGGGTATGGTAAAAAAACAAACATACGTATCCGCACATGTACATACAGACAAACCTCTCATCAACGGACTGATAGGGGGGGTCCCGTTAAAGCCGATTGTCCGTCGATGGGAAGGAATTATTTTTTAGTTATATTTATTGCCAGTAGTTATGATCATAATGTAAATACTATAAACGTGTATATATGGCATAAATAAATATATACTTAATATAGATATATAAATCAAAACAACAAAAATAATAGATTTCTCACTTTCTCAAGCACGCGCTAATGTATCGTACTTTATATACTGTACACCTCTCTTTGTTTACAATTGAAAGCCCCCACCCCCACTGCCGCCAAGCGGTCAGTTTGAGAACTAATATGACCCGTTCCGCTAAGCCCGCAATTTTTGAAATACATCGCTGACGATTTGGAAGTTTTTTTCCTGAAGATTTTGTCGGTTGCACCCGAAGTCCGTTGATGGGGAGTCCATAGATGAGACGTTTATCGACAAAACTAACCTGGCCGTGCGTCTCGAAAAGGACCTCCAATCGGTTGTGAACTGGGGCAAGAATTGGCTGGTCAACTTTAACGCTTCAAAAACAAAACTGCTCTCTATTAATCACCACAGAGATCCTTCCTTTCCCTCCATTAGAATGTCTGACGCTCAACTGCTCGAGAGTACCTCTCTGCGACTGCTCGGTCTCACGTTGACTGCTGACCTGAGATAGAACAAATACATTGAGTCAATTGCTTCGTCTACCGCAAGGAAAGTTGGCTCCCTGTGCCGCGCCAGGAAATTTTTCTCCCCGGAATCGATCCTCCAGATCTACAAATCAACAATTCGCCCTTGCATGGAGTATTGCTGCCATATATGGTCTAGTGCCCCTTCTGTTTGCCTCGGGGTTCTTGATAGGCTCCAGAGGCGGATATGCAATATAATTGGCCCTGCTCTGGCATCTCATCTACAGTCACTTTCTCACAGACGCGCCGTCGCCTCTCTCTGTCTGTTCTACAAATACTTTCATGGTAATTGATCCGAGGAGCAGCATTCGCTGGTTCCCAGACTTCATGAGTTCAAGCGCCCTACGAGGCTGGCATCCCGCTCTCACCCCTTCACTGTCGAAACTCCTAAATGTAGCCGTCTCTTCTACTCTAATAGCTTCATGTCTTGCACCTCTCACCTGTGGAACTCTCTTCCTATTTCATTTTCCCTGAGAGCTATAATCTCCAGCTATTCAAGTGTAATGTCAATCGACATCTCCAGGTGCCTTGATCTATCCACTACCCTTCTCCTAATACTCTCTTCTACCACTCCTATCTGATCTCGCTCCAAATCTTCTGTAACACCTTGCGTCCTAGTGGCTTCCCGCCTTGCTTGGGGTGAAATGCTTAAAAAAAATATATATATATATATATATATATATATATATATATATATATATATATATATAGATAGATAGATAGATAGATACACCTAGTGAGCCAGACAAACCTACCTAGCAAAAGAGCTCAATACAACCGTAGAGCAGACCTAGATACACCTAGTGAGCCAGACAAACCTACCTAGGTTTCACCTAAACGGATCGTATTGAGCTCTTTTGTTAGGTAGTTGTTACTCGTATCGGGGTTTTTTCTTTGGGCTTCAGACCTGCATCTGTGCGATTTTTTTGTCGGCAGAAGTTCATGTTTGTAGCTCTTTCTTTTTTTAAAACATTTTTCCCTCGAGATTGATTTGATTAGCAAGTCAAAAATTCGAGGGTTTTTCGAAACGAGTCTAGTTATCTATATTTATATGTATATATATATATATATATTTTACTCAGGGTTTATAAGAACGGTATTCAATCTTATATAACAGCGCTATTA